GTCTCTCCACCCATTTATCTATCTGTGTACCGGTGCCTAATGCCGTAATACTGGTATAAAGTGACATCTGGACAAGCTGACATTCAACCTAGCAGCCAGCAGACAGGAACATGAAACAGGAAATTACTTTTGGGATAGCCAATCAGAAAAAGCTCTCAGTAAACAGGAAGGAGCTGTCACAGTGGACCTGTCAGGCGTCACTCAGTTTCACAATGACCTGACCGAATGCCTCAGTGAAAACATCAGTCATCTCTAATCCTCCATCTGGAGAACGGCAGCGAGGATCACAGAAGATTTGGCTGGCGCAAACTCATTTAAGTTTTATTCTGAGGAACCCTTACAGTTCCAGGGCAGCATTGTGAACTGTGATTAAAGGACGCCATTGTCTACGGCTGAGGGTGGCTAAGGTGAAACCAAGAAAAAAAAAAAGAAAAAAAGGAAAGTCTTGTTGAAATTTTAAATATGGATTTTATCTTTCTCTAAAACCCCAAATTATTATGTGACCTGTTGAATTTAAATGGATTGATGACTTTTTAATGGAGGTACTGACTGAAATGATGTGACATTTACTTCATGTTGACTCATGACAGCGTGACCCTTTCTTATAGAAACAGACTATAATAATCTTTCAGTTCTATTGTCTGGAAGAAAAAAAAAGTTTGTAAAACTTTAAGATCATTTCAGGGAGCAAGAAATAAAGAAAATTAACGGCTCAGTGCAAGACATCATTGAAACGATTCCATTTACATGAGAAGGAATGGAAATTTGTTCAGAAAAAATAATGCCACTAATGCTGTAATATATATACATATATATATATATATATATATATATATATATATAGTGATATCTTGATATTTTACTGCTAAACCTTGATATGCAGTATCATATGTTTCTCCCTATAAAATATTAGGGTGACATATTAAAAATAAAGGGAAATAAAAATAAAATATATAAATGCTAAAACAAAGCATTCAAACATATATAGATGTATATTTAATTAAATAATGAAAAAGTATCTTGTAAAACTATCTAACAAAATTAATATTTAACTAAATAACCCAACATAAATATATATATATATTTGAATCTACAGTGTATAAGTCTCCAATGCATATGCAGCAGTGTTAACACAGCTCCCGTGGCCGGGGTTGTTTTATTCAATACTGCGTATGGTAACGTGTTTGTTGTCTCTCTCTCCGTGGGTCTCTGTGTTGCAGAGGTCGGACTGACAGTGGTCCACTAATGCCACACTGTCAGGAATCAGCCGTGCACTGTGTAATCTTTTCACAGCCTCAGGCAATGATTTACAGCTCACACTGTCAGTGGAGCACTTAAGAACTGACACACGCAAACACATGGAATCACACGCGCACACACATACACAAAAGAGTGCACCCGCTGATGGGACGGTGACAGATATAAATGTGCAATTTTCCTTTAATTTCACACAGGAGCCCTTTAGCTCGTCCGGTGATGCGTCCACACGTCCTGTCCCGGTCTGTGAGACACAACTGTGTTTGAGATGGAACGGTTGAACTCAGGTGGACATAATGGGTTGTTGATGCACTGGAGGAATGGTATCATCCAACAGACTGTAGCCAATATGGAATCGTCACTTACACTCAATTCATACTAATTAAATTACATTTTAATTACCTAATGGGCCACAGGCAAAGACAGAGGAGTCTCACTGGTTCGATCCCTAGTCTCTCTGTATGGAGTTTGCATTAGTTATGGTATCAACTCTCTCTCTATATATACGTATATATATACTAAATATTATCGACTGAGTATCACTTACTCTCATAAAGTATCAACAGTAATGTAATATGAAAATACATATTAAAGCTATAGAATGGCCAGTACTAAATAATACATAAAAAAAGTAAAAAGAGTTTCATCGATTGATTGAAAAAAAAAAAAGTAAAAAGAGTTTTATCGATTGATCGTATCAAAAATAAAATATAAAAATGTCTCCATGTCTGTTATCACTTATCCATGATACTAAACTGTTGTTTTCCTATACTGGGTCTTAAACCAGGATTTTAAGCACATTTCTCCAATGCTGGTGTAAAGGCCAAAACTGGAGTGATCAGATTTTCTCCTGTTGACTTACAGGATATTATGTAAATAGAGGAACAAAATCAAACAAACAAATATTTAAAATTCAAATGTACGAAACATTTGAATTTTTTAACTGACCTAAACCCTCACAGTAGCGTAATTACAAACAAGCTAACGTCCTTGCCCTGCACACGGCTAAGGCCAGTGTGCAGGACTACTTGTTAGCATTTGTACCAGTTTTTTTCCAGGAATGGGGAGCAGCTTTCTTTAGCATTAAGTACCAACTTTTCAAGCAGAGAAAACACTGCACTCTGTGCTGTCAACATCTTAGCCAACGGCACTGAAAAGCTTCAAGGTCAAAACACTGTTACGCACTAGTGGCTAAAGCTAATGAAGAAGCTTTGTGAGCAGTTGCAGGTCTGAACGCGTAAGAATGAAGGAATACATATATATAATATAGAACAAAGACCTGCATCCATCTGCACTTACTGCTCTGTGTACAACTACTTTGCATTATTCATGTACTCAACACGTACTGTATGCATTAACATGAATGGCTAAGAGAAAGGAAGCCTTGTTGGCAAATATTTGTATCTAGAGAAATGATGTAACTGCCAATGACTTGAAGGTTGAGGAAAGTTTGCAAAAGCATGAAGGCCATGTTCCTCATGACTGATGATGCGTACGTCCTCTCACCCCATACCTTATGTTGAACAATGGACAAAATACATGAACCAATACTGAAAGAATCAATAAGATCAAACAACAGACCAAGAGTTTGGTCGAACATGGGAGTATGTATGGTTGATGTGTGTTTTTTTTACTTTTTTTGATTATCAACTGGTGGCCCGGGGGCCCAATCTGACCGGTCGAACCATCCAATCCAGCCCAAGACTGGATACCAAAATAAAATATTGTTTGTGAAAAATGTGATTTCTGTTTCATTTTATTTGACTTTCTGGCCCTCCGATAAATATAGCTGCTGTCGCCTGGTCTAAGGTGTAACCCTGCCCTCACCTGTCGACAGCTGGGATTGGTACCAGTGCCCCCAACCCTGACCCTACAAAGAAATAAATGACATGTAGATGGACGCATGGTTAAAGCCCAGTTTTGGTATGCAGCAGAAAAAAAGTGTGTGTGTGTGTGTGTGTGAGAGAGAGAGAGAGAGAGAGAGAGAAAGAGAGAGAGAGAACAGGGAAATAGAGCAGAGGTAATGACAGATGAGAAACCAGGGGGCAGCTGAAGAGGCTTTTGCAAACATAGCAGAAAACCCAGAGCGCACCGAGTCCCAGATCGTACAGGGAGCGTCTTACATTTGACATTGGATGTTCTACGGTTGCGTCTTTTATGCAATCAGCACACGTAGCCAACCATATTTGGAGGCTGGCGTCTGGTGAGCATTATTACTGCACGTGAACCCAGACCAGAGGCTACCTGGTGGGAGGAGCACAACCACATCTAATACTCCACCAGGGGGTTTAGCCGGAGCTTTTCCTCAAGGTAACACCTGAATCTGTGTCTTACCAGATGCTCGGTGCTTCTGTGCCGCTGATTTCCAGGAAGTCATATTTGTCCTCCAAGAGGAAGTCATTAAAGACCAGAGCGATCGTGTCCCCAGGTTCAGCTAGAATGGACCATGTACAATCCAGGTTGTTGTCATACTCCGCAGGATATCCAGGGCTGGTAATTGAACCGGCAGTTCCTCTCAGTGTTCCGCCGCACGCTCCCTCCGCTGAGGAGACGAGAAAAAAAAAACACATTTCTATGACTTATTTATTTATTTAATATTATATCCTCATGTCTTTGTCGTCTTCCCTGGTTCGATTTATTTAGGTTATTATTTTTTATCAACAGTGAAGTTTTCATTTTCTTTTTTTTTTTTGGTCTGGCCTTTTTATTTCTGATGTGCATGAAACTCTTCCAGTTTTTACGCCTCATATCAACCCTGTCAGATTTCCTGTCTTTTAATAATATTTTTCACACAAACGTCTTGTTTTAGCTGTCAGTCAAACATGGTTCTCAGTCTTATGTGTCGTCTCCTGCTGAGTTTATCGGCCGACTCATTTGTACATACTGTAATGATTTTACAGCCCGGACGTCGTGTCCTGCCAAAGACGACTGGAACGTGTGATAAAAAAAAAAATTAAAATAAAAAAAAACACTACAACACATCCTCTAAAAAGAGAATCTGTGTAGTGGTTTTTGTCCAGTGCTGTCAGGGACCGTGGTTCCACTGCTGCCGATGTCTCTCTAACACAGAACATCACCTTAAAGTGAAGTAAAACCTCTGCAGATCTGTTCTGCAAATTGCAGCCAGATTTGGTCAATAGACTAATGATCCAATAAAAGATCTTGGCTGGAGGATGTTTAGCTCTAACTGGGTCAACAGTTATTATTTGAATCATACAGTAAATTGACTGAGACCGGCCCTGCATAAAGAGGAGAAAAAAAAAAATCAATACATAGAGGATTCTCATCTATGACCCCATTTAAGGTCCTGGGATTCTCACAACTATAGATTACATTTATTTTTAATTATTTTTTCTTCTCTGTTTAATAAGCTGTTTGTTTTATAGGGAAAAAAAGGCAAGAGGTAAGTATATAAATATATATATATATATAATTACACACACACACATATGTGTGTAAAAGGCATCACTGGCGTCTCACCTCTACAGAAGGGTGAGGGGAAGTCCCACTGTGCTCCACTGCCGGGTGACACTATGCATGTGAGGATGCTGTGTCCTTCCAGTACGAAGCCCGACTCACAGCTGTAGCGGATCTTGTCTCCCATGTTGTACCTCGTACCATGGATGACCCCGTTCGGAATCAGGCCGGGGGTTCCACAGGTGTGACTGGGCAGCACTGAAACACAGAGAGGAAAAAGGTTGGAACGGTGCTGCTGCAACGAGCTGCCACTAGGGGTGGTACAAGGTTGGTTTAATTAAATAGGATTCATCGAATCTAATCTAATCTAATCTAATCTAATCTAATCTTTGGCTTTTTATAGGAAAAGAAAAAGTGTAGATAGAGCTAGACCTGTTATACCTTAAAGCTAAATAAAAAAAAATAAAGTTATAAATATATATTTTTTAAGACAAACACCATCACTCTGCCTCGTTCCAGAGACATTTTGGGTCCTTTTATGCCATTGTTTCTCAAACACTGGGTTGCGACCTTCAGGTGGGTCGCAAAAGATTTTGTTTTCTTGGAACACTGGGTTGCGACCTTCAGGTGGGTCACAAAAGATGTTGTTTTCTTGGGTCGTCTCATGTTTCCCAGGAGTTTATGAATATTGTCTAGATTTGTGATTTTTAAAATATGGGTCCCTAGAAAAATAATCAGGGAAACACAACTTTACGTAACGTATACTTGTTGACATCCCCTAACTTTACTTCTCATGAGTTCAGTGAGGTCACACAGATAGTGACGTTTACCTGCTTATCTCTGATAAAGACACCTGTTGTTTGTCCAGTTAATAAAGGATTCTGTCAAAACATCTCAAACTCTACAATCACACTGACCTTAAACCTTCAAATCCCAGACCTCATTTACTTATAAAGCAGATGAACAACAGCAGGAACGAACTACGAGAGCTTTACAGTAAGAATCACAGAGAACCCGGCAAACACAGCACAAAAACAATTTACATATAAACCACAAGAACTGACACTGTGTCTGAGGCTAACGAACAGAAGAGCGGATTTGAATTAGATTTTAAGAACAGGAGGCGCGGGGTCAGCCAAGTGTTAAACAAAGACAAAAAAAGGTCAGAAAGTAAGGCTGTCTGGAGATTCGATTCTTCCGCCCACAACTGAATTGATAAATGGACTTGAATGAAACGCTGTGTGTTCTATTTTGTATGAAAAGCTCGGACGACTGAAGTAGGACAGATACACATACACCTACATATGTATCTATAGTTATCTATGTATGTATATATTTATATATATATATATAGATATGTGTATGTATGTATAAATATAATGTGTATACAGTATATATTGAGGATGTCAAAATTAATTTGTGAGACATCAGATAATCAAACAGATTAAAATTGAAGACACAGCTAATGCACTGATACACAAGAATTTTGGTATAACTATATATACATACATAAAGTATATATACATATATATATAAATGTATTGATACATAAGTGTATTCAGTATACATATACTATGTATACAAATATAGACACATTCTGTATATATGCGCATATATACTGTATAGTATCCATACATACATATATAAACACAAACATGTGTTTGTCTGTCTGTCATTGTTTGTCTCTTCTTGTGGCCTCTTCTTGGGCCTGTAACTCCCCATACTGCCCCCAGTGGCAGCTTGGATTGGCTCCAACTTCCCATGAAACACCAAGAACCCTAACCCTGATTTTGTTGTAAAAGATGAATGAATAAAATGCTTCTGAGATTTGTTTTCGCTGCTGAATTCTTACCAGGAAATAGTCATAACCGAATCCTTGCTGATTTTTAAAAAACTATTTTACAGTAAGTTGTTTCCTTCAAGCGTAAACGTACGGTTGACACTTTCTTAGGTGACGAAGCTCTACAGCGGCAGCCACGGGTCCACAGAGGAGACAGCCACTCAGTACAACCTGGACGACATCCACATATCTCTGCTGCGTGTTTGTACAAATGGAGCACGTTAATGTGATAGGTGTGTAATTTCCTGCACTTTAATCTGGAGCCACATTTTTCTGTGAGGGTGAACGTACGTGCACGCGCCACGTGATCTGTGTGTAAGGGGTGTTCTGCAAGTTGGTTTGTGTGTTTGTGTTCACTGTTCCAATTATACCCTAGCATGGTAATTAGACAAAGCTCCATCATGAGACTATGAAATTAGGACACAGGGAAAAAAAAAAAAAAGAGTGGGGATGTGGAAGTGAGAGACAAAGGTTGAGGAAGAGGAGACAAAGTAGGATGAGGAGACAGATGGACAGAAGAGACAAATGAGGGGAGAAAGCACAACAGAGACCCATTTTAAAAGGCAACAAAATAGAGGTGGGCAGGCGGGAGGGCGGGAGGAAAAGATCTCCTCCGACATGAAAAGAGAGACTTCAGCTAATTGCAGTGGACACTAAACATGTATAATTTACTCTAATTGCCTCATTATTTGGACCGAACGAAGCCATGAATCACCATAAAGTTGCCGTGACTCGGACGACCACGTCCACCGCGCTGCATGCTTTGTTAAAACGAGGAGAAGTGGCTTTAAAAAAGGAGAGGGAGCACCAAAGGAACGGTGCGTGAGCCAAGTCATTCTTCACATAAGTGTGAAGAATGACTTGGCTCCGTCCCTCAGCCCCCCTCTTTGCCAGGCTGCCATATTTTATCATGCCAGCTTGATACACAGAGGTATTCTCACCTTAGGAGTGATGTTTGAATATAGTCCTCAAAGAAAAAAAAAAAAAATTAGGAGGGGTGTGGGAAGAATAAAGTGTTACAAGTGCCCTGATAATAAGCTAGAATTTCTCCTTAAGCTGCGACGGAAACCATTTAAAATGACATGAGTTTCTAACAGTGGACTCCAGTGTTAAAGGTGACTTTTTATACTTCATTGACTGGTTTTACAGTTCAATTACCAGCAGTGATGTGGTTATAATATATGTATTAATATACTATTACTACATATCTGCAGGTATAGTACTATAATATTTTTAATAAAATTATATATATGTATATATATACACATTTAAATATTTATGTATACATACATTTATATGTGTATATTTATATATGTGTATATGTATGTATGTATATACATATATACATATGTATAAATGTACAAATGATATATATACATATAAACATACATATACTTATCTATAAATGTACAAATATATATATACATCTATGTCTATATATGTAAATATGTGTATATATGTATTTGGTATATGATAATAATAGGTTGGTTCTCTCACATCTGATATTAAAGTAAATTATTCTGTAAAACTGCAACACTCCTTTGTGTTGCATTAACTCAAGGAAAAACAATATATAAAGTCTTGTGAAAAATAAAATAGTTTGAGAAACCAATTACCGTCACAGCTTAAGCTATCTTCTCTCAGAGTTCATATTCACAGGTGCTGGGCTTCCGCTGTAAATGGAGGAAATGGAAACGGTGTCTATATGTTTCCATAATCGGAAACTACAGGAGAGCTAATGAGTTGGAGAGATATGGTTGTCACATTTTCCGACCCCACTTTCATGACTAAGCTGCGGACGATCAACCCCCACAGGTATTTGTCAATTTGTTGTACTGCACAGTGACAACGTTAACGTCTGATTCAGGCAAATCTGAGCCATTCTTTGTTTTCTGTCCTTAAATATTACAGCCAAAGATAATGACTTAAAACAAACACTGAAGGTCAGAGTGGATTTGAACTGGTCTGGAAAAAAATATATAAACATGAACACATTTGGTCGGGTCATAACTAGGAATTCCTTATCACTTAAAAAAAAAGTAGCTCAAATCACACGTAGACCTCACTCGTCCTGACGAACTATTTGATTTTAATGATTAGGCTGTATTATTAGGATGTAACTAATTCTACCACGACACCTTGAACGCACCATGAGTGGTCCGTTCAAAACGGTGTGCCATCAATAAATGGCGTAAGTTAAGGGGGCAGGTGATAATACAGTACTATTGGGCCAAATTGTTTANTATGAGATGAATGGAAACAGGGTTAGGCAGAGGTGATGCTGTGGATCAAAGGAACGGGAGTTTTCAAAGGAGCAGAACCTCGGGTGAGTTCTGCAGGGTGTGATTTAGAGATGGAATGTGTGATAGAAGAAGTCCTGCCAATGGATACAAGTGTTGATTGGTGTGAGTGGGTTTGAACAAAGTACTTGTGAAACCTGAAGAAGCTCAGTCAATGACAGAGCAATGACGGTAACAATCGGTGATCGGTGAAAACAGTTCTTTGTAGTTCAGCTTTGAATGTTAGCGGTCTGTTCTGTCTGTTCTGTCTGTTCTGTCTGTTCTGTCTGTTCTGTCTGTTGGTGTGTCTGACTGTATTTATTTAATTTTTTCTGTCTGTTTCCTTTTTGGCTTTTGATTTTGGGCTGGTCAGGGTGTTGCCATGACAACTCCAGATGAGGGCATTATTATAATGATAGAGAGATGATGAAACTGAGGCCAAGAACAACAACGATGCTGGGCAGAGTCCAGAGGAGAGAAGGTGTAGAGGCCCGTCTCCATAGAGTTTGTCTTTATGGATTTCAGCACTGACTGTGAGCGCTTATTTGTGATTGGCTGTTGGTTTATCTTGAGTGTAATCGGCCCCTCACCTGGTAAGTTCAAATAACCCAGTCTTTGACCTTTACCTTAGAATTAACGGGAATCGACAGGTTAAACTGCAGCTGGTGTGTGATATTATTAAAAATCATCTTTTAGATTTTTTTTTTTATTTCGTCCAAAAGTCGTAGAAATCAATTTAACAGTCATTTTTAGCTCAACCTTGAATCAGACGTTTCTCGTGGGGTTTAAATTTGGCTCATGGTTTTTAAAGATATTTGGATTTCTTTTTTTAAGAATACATATAATATATATATATAATATGTCTCTAAATTAGGATAGTCAGTAGAAAAATGTTAATAGATTAATCACAATCAGTCATGATTAATCATGATCATAATCTACCATGATTAATCAATGGAGGTATGACTTTCAAATGACAAATCATTTGAAGGGTTTTGAAAAAGTCCCTGAAATAGACCTGATCACATTAGTTCAAGGTTCTCAACCTCCTGGCCGGGGGCCACTTCCGGCCCCTAAACTGCCCACACGTTGGCTCGTAACTGGATATTAAGAATATCATCCAGGTCATGGTCAA